CCCCCCTCCTGCAACAAAGACCCGGGGAAACACCGTTCCGGCCTTACTGGGAGCGGGGGCGGCCGCGCGCCCCGGCTGCCCCCCTTCCCCGCAGAAAGGCGCTTTTCGGGCAATTTACGCAGCCTCAAACGTGCTTCGGCTCGGCCATTTATCGCGAGCGCTGAAGCCTCTTCCGCTGGCAGGAACGGGGTCTTGCCAAATTGCTGGAAAAGGCTGCATTGGACCCTGCGCGCCCCTGGGCTGCTTCCCTTTTGGGGAGGGGGATGAAAGTCAGGCCTTCCACCCCCCGCCGCCCGACCCCGTAGCCAGTTTGAGCCCCGAGTCCCCACGGAGGGCGAGGCTGGCTTCTCTCCGTCCTGCTTCCTTCCTTGCTACCCTAGCAAAGCCGACACGCGCCAGAGTCGCCTACCTTCCAGGGCTGTTCTAGGGATCCCCAAGTGCCGGACAAAGGCAGCGTCCGCCCGATCTCACGCCTGCTTGGGAGCAGATCCCACTGAGCTCAACAGGGCTTTTCCCCTGCTGTAAAATTGCAGCCTCGGGACCCAGGCCTTAGACGCCAAAGCGGCTCTCTAGATCAATAAATAAGGGGAGAGAACAGAATCAGTGGGGCGAATCGCCCATCTGTTGCCCCACCGGTTCACTTCTGGTCTGTCACAAAGCATGCAGCTCCTCCAGCGGGCCACGGGGACAGATACAGCTAGAAACCATCAGAACAGCATCTACCTTTCCTTATTCACCGCAAACCAGTAAGCACAAACGGCAGAAGAGGAACGGATACGAAAAATAATAAAAGCAATCATCAGATGCCTGTAGTACGGGGGTGGGGGACCAGTTGGCAAACTGGAAGAAAGCAGAAGAAACCACACGGAGGGAACCTGCACAAGCAGGCCCAGGAGCGATGGCCTTTACACGGATCAGAGGGCCTGCTGACAATATGAGACCGTTTGCACAATCCAAGGAGACAGCGAAGAGGAAAAAGGCGACCCGAGGCAAACACGGTCACTTCCTTAAGCAGATGCGCAGGCTGGCAGGAGCCCCTTTCAGATTTCCCCACTTGCCCAGCATCACACCTCAGGTGCGCCAGGGATTAACTGGTGTGAGCCCTGGTTCCAAGCAGGCCATCCCAAAGGTTTGCTGAATAAGCCACAACTGACTCGGTCCGAGTCGCATTCTATCTACGCAAAATCAAACCGATCAGACTATGGCCCCGGGTGTTGCATGTACATAGCCTGGAGTGGCAGCCGCCACAAAAACTCTGCACACCAAGTCACAGCCAAGCAACTCCCACAAACGATGGCGCCTCCATCACAAATCCCAATGGAGCATCTCAAGGCATTTCTGCCCCCCTCCCCCATTTCCCGGCAACATAGACAAAAGGAAACCGCTCAGTGACTTCCCCCCACAACTCCCAGTAACAGTCCCTGCGTTGGACTCCATTTGTAACTAAATCTCTAAGTAGAAGCCATTTGCTTTTTCTCATCAACAAGCCCCAAAATCTGCAGAGAGGAGATAAGGCCGTCAGAGCTCAAGGCCTCTGGCACTCATTCACTAACTTCAGCCTTGCTACGGGAGTGCCGAGCCACAGCCTGCTCCCTCCAAGCAAACTTAACATTGCCCTGGGATTCCTCCCACCTTCCAGACGGCTTTTTCCTTGGTTCTCCTCCAAGCCCAAAGTTCCCACCTGCATTTTTCATCACTCTTGCTGTTTCTAAAGCAGATCCCCCGCAAGACCATAGAAAATACTCCCAAACTGGGTTCAAAATTGCAACTTTAATGGCCTTCAGCAACTCCCCCCCCCCATTTCCTCCTTCATTACATTCTCTGGCTTCACATAATAGGTTCCACCTTAAGCTAATGTGAACACAGGCTGTGTTCCTACATTAAGCCAGAAAAACATCCAACTCCTTAAAACTAACCCAGGTTAGCATTAAGGCTAACTGGCCTGGTTATGTCTACGTGCAATGGCTATTTTAAAATTGCTGGTAGGTTAAATTCAGGACAGTCGGCAGCAGCTAATGGCACCAACTGGGAGACCCATTTGCTTCGCTCACCGGACATTTTGCACATTATAGCTTGGGAGCAATTCTCTGGAAGCGGCAGAATTATTTTGGGCTCCCCCAGGGAATCTCTCTTTGGCCAATCAAGATGGAGGCAGCCCCAGCAATACAGCTTAACAAAGCCTAAAAACAGGGGGCTCGAACTTAAATGTGCTCAGCCAGTTTACAAGTCAGATGGCATCTTCAATACTGGCCCATTGCCTCTGGCCAGCTTTCTACAGCCTGTCCTCAGGGAAGCTGACGGCAGGGCCAAAACACATTTAAGAGTCCTCAGTCTCCTGGCTTTGCGCATGCGGGAATGGAAAACGGGGGCCAAGAAACAGAGCTCAGCCCCCCAAGAGCTTATCCTGTACCCCGGTTATGTATTACCCATAGCTCCAATCCTGGGACCCATTTTTCATGCTTAGCCATCCTGTCCAAGTCCTCACCCCAAATTAAATGCCTTCAATGGCCCTTTCACCACTGTGGGCCACTGGTGCTGCCGTCCAACGCTGTGTTAGGAAGGTGATTCTGTCCTACAGCCTGGAGCCACCAGGCATTTTGAGGGTGTCACCAGTGGCCGCCCCCTGCCCCCCAAGGCAAAACAGGCCAAATCCTGCAGCCTTTCCATGAGATTCACAAAAGCAGGCCCCATGCTTTTGGAACCCAGATGAAGCAGGGAAGAGGGAACACCCTTGGCTGCAGAAAAGCATTTCGCCCAGCTGCGGCTCAAGGAAATGTGGTGGAGACAGCTCCGCTTCTTTGCCTGTCCTCAAATGTTCTCCAATAAGAGTATTTTTTGCAATGGCTCAACTTGACCTACAATGCTTTGACTACCATGAGCAGGACCAGGATTGAATGGGCGGGTTTCATCTCTCGCTCAACGGGTACGCTGGCTGTCCATATTTGAACACCCTGAATGGGGGAGCTTGGGAAAGAATCCAGCGCTCCCATCCTCCTAAAAGGAATTCCCCCCAAACCATCCAAGCACAGGGCTGCACGTTTGCATGGGGAAAGGTCCAAGCAAACAGTTTGGATGGGATCTGCAGAGTCACAGAACATGATTCCTGACACAAAAGGACTGGTGGAAGATTACAACAAACGACTATCTTGAGGGTGTCTTTGGCCTGGAACTGGAAACATGGAGCTGTTGTGTTGTAAATCCAGATTCAAGTAAATAATGATTCAAGTTCTTGCTCCAGCCCCAACTATTTTAAATAAAATGCCTATTTTTCTGTCTGAAGTTTGAGTTCCCTTAAAATGACTGCACAGCTGGCACCAGACAGGCCCTCAATTAAGGCCAAAATAAACACACCAGAACAAGCCAGACGCTATGACACACAGAACTGCAATGCCACATACAACACACTTCTCACACCCACACCTTATTCATGGCACTTGGGAGCAGATGGGTGTAGTGACAGCTTGCAATCTACATTTTTCTCACTCGCTCAGTGTGTTATAACCATGTTTTTTGCTGGTCTTTCCTTTCGCTCCAAGGAAGACCCGGGCAGCGGGCCCCTTCTACCCCATAAGGTTTTGTTTGTAAAGATAAAGTGACCGCTTGTTTTTAAAAACAAACCAACAAACCAATAAATAAAAACAGCGACATAGTTGAAACAGAAAAGGCTGGGGAAGGTGAGACCGAGAGGCAAATGCGCTTGCCTGCATTTGGACATAAAGATAAATTCAGAATCCTCGGATGCCACCCGGCCTGGAAGGAAAATGGTTCAGTTATTGCAACATCAAACCACAAAGCACAGCTGCCATACGTAGGATCAATGACTGAACACCCTTATAATCAACCCCGGCAATCATGGGCGAAGGGAAGCCATTCCTTATGTCCTATAAATGGAGGCCACACCAGGTCAAGAACACTTTATTAGCATACAGTACAAAAATAAGGGAAGGAAGGCGATCCAGCCAGGACGATGCCTCAAAGACGCATCGCTTCGCTCTGAAAAGGGCACCGTTTTAAGCCTCCTTCCAAAATATAGACAAGATGCGTAATTCAGAGCAAGAGTCTAAACTTCCAGGGAAGCGTGGCTGTGGATCTTTTGGCGGCGGGCCCGGCCACGCGTCTTCCTCTGCAGCGGCTCTCCCCCCGCCCCCCCACCGCATCGCAGCCGCTTTGCGCCTCCGCGTCTGCTCGGCCGGGCGAAGGCGAGGGACGGGACGGCCCGGCTCGACTTCCGGACCGCCAAGCAAGGGAGGAAGAGTCTGCTCTTCGGCCGCGTGCTTAACCTCGCGCACCTGCCGGACACCTGTGGGAGGGCTTATGTACAATAAGAGTATCAAAACATTCAAACTAGTTATTTTATTAAATGTTTTTGTGTACAATTCAGAGACTGCTGTTTTCCACAAAGCTTCTCGAAGTCTCCCACCCCGCTCTCCCCCACACAAGAAAACACTTGAAAATAAGTCAAGCCAACACAATACCCAGCTCTTTAAACACGCAGAAAACTAAAAAGCACAGCAATGGTATTTACAGTGTTTTCCGAAGGGCAGCAAAGTCCGGGTTTGCTCTCTCTCTGAACCCCCCCGCCTTAAACCCTCTTCTCCGGGCAAAGCATCTACTCTGCAGGCAGAGCTGCTGCCCCGGGTGAGGGGGTCTCTCTGCTATGCTGACGCCCAACGCCTCCCCCCACCAAAAGGTTACCTCCAAAGAGAACTGCTTTGGCAGAGGGAAGTTTTCCCCACCTCCACAAAAGCTCCCTGAAAGCTCCTTTGTCCCCGACAGGCACAAAAGCTGCTGCCGGCCCGATCCCCTGCCTCTCCACTTTCCGGGAGACGGGAAATCCATCCTTCCCAGAGACATTGGTGGTTCTCTGTAAAAATAGGGGATTGTTTCTTTGTTTTGTCGTCCCCCCCACCCCACCCCATCAAGTGAAATACAAAAGGAACAGCAAAGCAAAGGGAAAACAAACCAGGCCAGGAAGTGCCTTCCCCCCCAAAGCAGTTTTTTGTTTGTTTTGCTACTCTACACGCATATATACACTTGCTGCCATCCGTTAACTGCGAACGTTTTAAAGTGAAAGCACAAAATCGGGGGCCAAACAAAAGAGACAAGGGGGGGGGAAAAGACGCACAGCTTTACCGTTAAAAGTATTTTGCCTTTTTATCAGTTATCAACTTTTCCCGTTCTGTTCCTGCCAGTCGCCCAAAGGGCCCTCTATTTTAGGTGGCAGTTTGGAGAATCGGTAGCTCTTTGGATCATTCTGTTCCCTCCAGGCCGTTTGTTAAAAGATCCACAGAACTGCCGTGAGAAAGGGAGGAGGGCAGGAGCAGCAGCGATACGGGACACCCCAAGGAAAGGGGGCACTTTGGCTCATCCCGAAGCAGAGCTGCAGAACCATGGAAAGAGAGGGGGCCGTTTAGGGCGTGATCCGCTCCAAGGGTCTCCTGAAGGGACGCGCACGAGAGTCCTCTTAAGGTAGCCCTGATGAGTTATATACAGCATAAGTGAGTTTCTCTCCCCCTCCCCCTCCCCCCCCCCCCCCC